TCATGTGATTATATCATATGTGAAATGATTTTGTTTGGAAAAGTTTTTATTTTTAGTTAAATAAGACAGTTCTGGTGGACATTGGTGCAGTCGATGTGTTGTTTTCAGACCATTCATTCTCAGTGATGGTGGGTCCTGTAAGGACATGTAAACAAAAAAACTAGTTTCCTTAGTGTAATCAAGAGAAAAGGCAGCACATCCTTCTATCCAGTAGAAGTAAATCCAAAGCTCAACTACAAGTGAAACAAAAGTCGATTTTTAAAAAAGGCAGTTTCCTCAGTACTGTATTTTTAAATTCAGACACATAAGCACACATTCACACTTTAGGAAAAAAAACAGTTGTCTCACTACAAGGGCCTGTTCTCCCACTGTGCTGCCAGTTATAAAAAAAAAAGAAGAAAGAACACTTAGAGCTGAAGTACATATCAGTAATACATTTTAAAAATGCCAGTGCTGGTTTAAAAATATGGAAGAAGGTAGAGGAGAAATGTGATTACTATCCACTACTGGATTTTTCTGTAACAGAGTAAATACAGTGCATGCCAATTTCTTGCCTTAACCTCATGTCATGTAAATTAAGGATGATCCTAACGGCTTATTTACCTGTTGATTAAACAGCCATTTAAATTTAGACTAGTCTACTAGTCTGTGGGTAAACAATGTCATATTGGTTTGTGGAGCATGGCGACTGTTAGCAATGCTAGCACCAGCAGCCTTCTTACCTTGCAGGTTAACGTCCACATGTATGTGCTGAATGTTGTTAAGCATTGCTGCGGTTGAGTGGTTATGTGCCACTTCATTCTGACCCAGCTTACGTACAACCTTGTTTTCATTTTGCAGATCAAAAATGTTTTCTGTCCCACTTTTCTCCTTGCTTGTTTACAACATCCTGGCATTAGCAGAGGGAGAGGGGTGCTGCCACCTGCCGGAACTGCAGCCTAAGCTAGCGGGGGATGGCTGCATGACATCTTAGATGCAACAGTTAACTGGCATTGTTCATTAATAAAAATAACAACGAGTACTTTTGGTGCTGATCCGCAAGGATGACAGTGTTTACTCGTTTAGTCCCTGACAGCTTACATCCCTAATATAAATAGTTAGTAGGTGTAACTCTCAGGCTATGTGTGCATGTCCGCGTGATGGAGCGGAGCTATCAGGAAAATATCTGTAAATTAGCATCACCCTGGTTCCCTAAACAAAAAGCCATTAGGATTTTTTCATCGGCTTTTGGATTATTGCAGAAAATAAACTCTGTGACAAATGGAAGTTTATGATACTGACACGTTTTGTTCAGCAAGATAATCTTCACAATTGAACGTCACTTTTATGATTATTGAAACCTAAATAAAATCGCCATCAGTAAAAAGCTAATGTTAGACTATAAACCAACTTAACCACCGTTGCATGACTTCCACCACTAAGCTTCCAATTTAAAATTTGTCTCTCTTAGAAAGTTAGTGATAGTTTGCAAGAGTGTGAGTATAAACAAAACAAGGCTGTAAAGGTGGACTGGTGGAAGTTTAATGTCCCTGACAACCTCTGTATTCTCATTCAGCCCCTTGTTAGCAACCGCCTTTCTTTTAAGACACGTAAGAGCTTTGAAACGTCAAGAGTGGGGTGTTTACTGACATATTTTATGTCGTAAAATAAAACGTGAAAATGTCTTAGTACAGGCATCGAACCAAAAACCCAATCAAAAAACCCATCCATTTAGGGTCAAAGGAACCGGAAGTGCAAAAATATTAACTCAAGTTTTAGGGCTGTTTCCTGCAGCACTCTATTATAAAAAAAATAAGTGATTATTTTTATGCACGTGTCTGGTACTCAATGGGTGCTACAAATTAGTGTTATAAAACAGAGTAAGTGTGTATAATTGTGCATGAGGAAAGCTGTGTGAAAGCCCACAGATGGTGGATAGATGCTCCAGCTACCACACAGCTTGTCATCCTAGAACTAGTGGTGTAACCATCCGAATTTGCAGATTCTCTTCAGAGCTGCAGCTCTTTGAATCACAAACCACTGCTTTAAACTTAGAATGACCCTTAAAACCATTTACGCTAGGGTTTGAAATAAAATTTTGATTTTTAAACATTTTATGATAAATAAATGACCATAAAACATTCTATCAAATGTCTCAGTTTAAAGATTCACAGTTCCTCAGGAGAGGGGGGGGCTGCGAATCTGCTCAGATCATAAAAACTAAGAGCTGTCTCACCAAAAGTTTTTGTCGTGCTCTTTGAAACAATTGAAAGGCTCGGTTCATAAGGAGGCTGGTGCAAGGCAGTGAGGCCCTTTCAACCTGCAATAACAAATTTTTTGTACACTTTTTTTTGGAATACATTTTTCACAGTACGATTCATTTTATTTGTTTTTTTTTTTTTTTACATCTTTTAAGATGGATACATTTTGACTGTCCCTTCCAGGGGTGAACAGCCATTGATACCTCTTTTCCATTATCTTTTTGAGTATTTCCTCAGTGTGAATTTGACCCATTACATTTTTGTACACAGCTTATATATTTATTTTTTGTCTGTCCATTTTTTCTTATATTTATTGTTTCTTTGTGGTACCCTCTATGATAATTGCTTCCCTTTTGGATAGTTTATGTGATCATTATATGTGATAAAATGTTTTTACAAATGTGATTTACTAGATTCAGTGTGTTTTCACAGCCCCTTTTTGTGATCTCAGGGCGTCAGTGTAGTTCATTTCATTTTTAATTCTGCAGGAACTGCACACAGTCATCTGTGTGATTGCTGTATATATTGCCTGGTCTTCTTTGTCATGTTTACTTGACTAAGCTTAACAAAGATCTCAGTGAAATTGCAACATTGTTATGTTAAATCCATTGGCCACTGTCTGCACGGCGTGTAGCTCTTTTGTTGGATTTCTGTTTTCCGTTTGAGTTTTTGATTCTGTAGCTATGAAGGTTTCTTGGATGTGCACACTCTCCACTCCGTTCCTTTTAACTACAAGTGACCTGTTGTTTTCTCATGCATTTTCAAAGGAACTGTACTCTATGACTATTAAGCGGTTTTGTTTAACAGGCCTCACTAGCTGCTGTCTTGAGCATATACAACTCACCCAGTTGTCAACACTCTCACCCTGGGCGGGCCTGGCCTTGCTGTAACTTAAGCTCTCGGTCTTTCTGTTCCCCACAGGGTAACTTGACCCACGATTGCTTTGTCATGTGCCAGAGAGAGAGGTTCCCTCTCCACACCCACTGTCTTTATTCAACCAACACAACACACATCAGTGTTGTCTTTGCATATTCACTTTAGCTTTTATGGTTAAATTTGGTATTTAAGTGGTCCTGCCTCAAAGGATGTAGGTTTAATAGGTTTAATCCTCATTTGGACTATGTGGGTGTGTTTGTGATTATATAATGCGGACCTTTTGAACTATAGTGTGTGAAACATGTGCTGCATGTGTGTGTTCAGTGTGCTGCATGTGGGATGTGAACGGGGTTTTGATTCTTTGTGACTATGTGAACTATGTGTGTTATTGAATGTTTTAGTGTTTTGTCCATGTCGTTTCTGTATGTCTGTGTGCCTGCAGTATAAATTCCAGGGGCTTTGCAGCTCTGCTTGTTTCTTCATCCTGTTTTTGGAGGGAAAGGTCTGATGCTCTTCATGCTGTCTCAGTGCGGGGCTTGGCCCACTAACAAAGGACACCCTGTGGATGGAAAAACAGCGAAGGGATGAAAAAATCCAAGCCCACAGCATTGTTAATACGGTCAATCTCCTACCCCAAAACAACAACAACAAAGCATTAGTTTGCATTCCTCACACTCTGTTGGTCTGCTTCCTGATCTATCTGATCTCTGTGTGTGTGTCTTGTCTGTCATTTTAAACTCACATTTTAAACAGTCCTGGGAAAGTTTCTGGTATTCAATTGATCATCTCATTTTGGAGTTCATGTTTTTTAGTAATACACTATCTGGTGAAATATGTACAAAGTGTCCATACATAATTGCCCTCGCTTAAGCAGTAAAGGAAGTGAAATTTTTTTTGAATAATTCCCTTATCTTACGACAGAATCTAGTAGTCACTCAGACAGGTCTTGCTTCTAAGAGCTTATTTTGGACCTTAAAACAAAATGTTGAGCCTAACTGCTGTGACTCAGCAAAATCAAGAGTTCGTGACCTCCTTGAGTCTGCATTTAAATGAACCACTGTTGGATATGTTCTCCAGATAAAACTCCAATGTGGAAAACACAATTTACAAGCAAGGTTACAGTGTCAGTGTAGTGCCAAAATTAATCAGCTTTTGGCTTTGAATTTATGTTGAAGGCCTGGAGAAGCCTTTCACTCTCACTGACCTTTATCTTTCAAGCAACAACCTGTCATATGCATGGTACATTAACAAATTTTGAAGCTGTATTTTGAATTACAGTGGCACGGGGGGATTTTTATCATGTTTCTATAGCGTGGCCTCAGTAATCTATTACTGATTTATTAAATTAAACCAGGAAGCTAGTGGTCTCTCATTGCCTTCTCTTTAATGTACTTAATGTGCTGTCGGCTAAGGATTTTATTACTAAACTGTCTTTTATTTATGTACACTGAGTGAAAGTCATAAATCTTATCTGCTTTTCTGTGTCTGCTATGCCTGAATTTAAACTCTTCTGTCTGCTTTGTGGTGCCATATTCTCACAGACAACAAATACCATTTGAAAGAAAGGACCTAATTGCCTGTTTCTCCTTATAGATTTGGTTATTCACCCCAATCAGGGTGCTACACCAAACTATGTGGCTTTTGTTCTGGTTATCCCAGACACATATTTCTGGTTGCGGGCCTCTTCCCTCTGGCTCTCAGTATTCTTCAGTGAGGCCAGTGCAGCTGGTGGAGAATGCACACAGAGACACAAGCTATGCTAGGACACATTGGCTAAACTGGAAAAATAAAGCATTTGGCCAGCCTGTGGTCAGTTGGGAATGGAGCAGTCATTGTGAGAACACACAAATAACCTTTGGCCTCATTTCTGTGCTCACCCTGCAGGCATGGAAGAAGCGGTGGTTTGTTCTTCGCAGTGGCCGTCTGACAGGCGACCCAGACGTGTTGGAGTACTACAAGAATGACCATGCCAAGAAGCCCATCCGCGTGATTGATCTCAACTTGTGTGAGCAGGTATGGTTCTTCATTACTACCAGCCTGCAAATTGAAGAGCCCCAGTTCCACATTTCTACATGTATAATTGATTTTTAAGAACGTCAAGTTGAAGCTAGCCGCAGCTTGCCCAAATATATTCATAATTTTACTTTTGGGGTGTTTGCATTACTTAGGACACTGAAGTCACAGATTTAAGCCACTATTTTCCTCACAAATACATCAAGTCAAATTAAAAAAAAAACAAAAAAAAAAACAAAAAAGCCTGCCATATTTTTTAACAATACATGCCATTGTTTTTAAGAAATTTTGAAAATGCTCAGTTAAATTTTTCAGGCTTGAATGTAATCATCAGTTCAAAGGAGCACAAGCTAAAGTTCCATTTTAACATGCTTGGAGGTTTTTGGGAAGCTGTAAATATTCAGTTATCCATTTTGTCTTGACTGATTCCAAATTAAATAAGCTCTGTCGGTTTCTCCCTCAGGTGGACGCTGGGCTGACGTTCAATAAGAAGGACTTGGAGCACAGCTTCATATTTGACATCAAGACCATTGACCGTGTCTTCTACCTGGTGGCTGACACCGAGGACGAGATGAATAAGTGGGTTCGCTGCATCTGCGACATCTGTGGTTTTAACCCCACTGATGACGGTAAGGATTGGCCTTAGATAGTTAACCACTCAACAGTGCTGAAATAATTTACATTTAGCCACCGTGATAGTTATGGACACTGTGTAATGTGTCGAAATTCAAACTTAATTCACAGACAATTTTAAACAATTTAGTAGTATTGGCCACACTTGTCACGCTACAGTGTCCAGTGCACACCACAGTGACGATTGTGTATTTTTTTCAGTGAAGAAGAATTGATCTTCTAATGCACCAACAGTCTTCACTGATATAGTACAGTAATACAGGAAAAGCTGAATTCCTGTTCAGCAGCTTTAAATCTGGGTGTGTTTCATCTCCAGCCGTAAGGAAATGCATTGCTAGGATTGAACAAAACAATATTAGCTCACTAGATAACTACTGTACATTTGATTGGTCTCTCATTTGACTGTTGTGCCTCTCAAATATCTGCCTCTTTCTCTCTGAAGGAGTCAGGTGAACCAGCTGAATGTGCCAGAAGGCCTGTATTCAGCATAGTTCTCAGCCAAGGTCTAACGATCCATGTGTTGATCCATGTGTTATGTTGAGGCTCACATTACTCTTGTTCCCAGTACTGGATAATCAAAGCATTGTGTATCTGCTGGTCTCACTGTCTCTCCTTCATCCTTCCCCTCTTATCTAGTTCTCATTCTCTCTCGTTTGCATACTCTTGTTTCCCTGTCTTTCTCTCTGTCTTTGGGCCTAATTGCAGGTTGTGCTATTTACATCAGGGTTTTGGTCCAATATGGTTTCTCTTTCTCCTCATCTAGATGTGTAAGCATTTTAGTGTGATGAGAACTGGCATAAAAGTTGCACGGATTCACTGTGTGACATGTCACATCACTAGGATTCTTTTAGGAGAAGAATATACTTTATAAACCTCGGAACTGAGTCACTCATCATGCTGCTCCAGGGTCATCCTCTCCACAGTATTGTGACTATGCCTCCGCCTCAGGTACATAGCTAGTGATGCAGGGCAACCCTGTTAACAGCATTCATGGTACTTCTGCTACAGAATTATTGAAACTAGCATGTGAAAACAAACAGTGAGACTATTCAAGGAGAAACTAGGTCTAAAGACAAGTATCTTTGCAGATAGCCCTCCTCACAGTTCTTCTTACAAAAGAATGTCCTTGGCTCTCTCTTTTGCGGCAGCTTACACTTCTCTGCATGTGAGACCCAACTCCTACTCTTCTGTTGTGTGTGGCCACGCTAGAGTGCTTCATGGCTGGGCAGATATTAGAGGAGAGAACATTAGGAGGGCTGAGAGACAGTGTAGGAGGTATAGATGAGTATGAGCAGAGGGGATTTTCCCTCTTCCTGTATGAATCAGCACTTAAACCTTCAACCAACAAATAGGAAAAAGAGAAGAAGATAGCAGAGGGGAGAGAGGAGCAAATGATGCACAAAAAGAGAGATTACTTTTAAAAGAAGAGAAAGAGGGGACCTTGCCTGAGATACAACCATCACAGTTATTGAAGAGAGTGGGAGGACTGTGAAAAGATGAACAAAGTAGAAAGATGTGGAATGAAAGCATAGATATATTTCACCCGGCATACGCATCAGGCGTCTTGGCTCTCTGTGTGGTGCAACAATCAGCTCGAGCAGAAGCGTTTGAAAAGGACTCTGATATTTGAAAACTCAGTGTGACAAAGCAGGGACCTTCAGGAAATTCTGTCTGAGAAATAGTGTGTGGGATTCTGAAGGCAAACACTGTATTCAGACGGTTTACGAACGAGTGAAGCTTTTAGAGGTTGTTGGATGTGAAAAGTGATGAAAATACTTACTCGTTATGGTCTTTTTTGTGTAAATTCACAGCAATGACTGCAGTGAGATTAAACTTGATATCAACTGCCAGTGCCGGTGTTATTTAGGGAATCTTGTCACACATACCACACCTCTTCCTTCACATTGAGCTGGACTGCCTACTGTTTTATTTCTCCCAGGAAATCTGCCCGTCAGGTTATCAACTGTTGTGACTTCCTGGATCAGTTGAGAAGGGACACCCTGTGTTTTAGTTTCAGTTGTGATTTGTGGTTGAGTTTGAGAAACAGAGTATGGGGAGCTGTTGCAAAGAAATATCTGAGATCTGTCCTTGTCTCATCAGAGACCCCCCCACACACACACACACACACACACACACACACACACACACACACACACACACACACACACACACACACACACCAGCTCCTGAAGTTCAGACATTATAGAGACGTAATGTTGATGTAGTATCAGTCAAAATGCTGAAGGTGAGTATAGACTGTTACATTGGGATTGGGTTGCTAAGAAACAGCTTGGGTCCAAGTTTACTCTGCAAGAGTAGACATTAGCAAACACAGCTTACTGTTTACTCTCTGCCTAATATCATCAGTCACCAATATCACCTACACTGTCTCAATGGGCTTTGCAGGTCCACAGAAGTAGCAGATCTCGGCTTATTCGAACTGGGGGTTCAGTAGGAGCCATAGGTTACCAAGAAGTTGGAACGGTAGAAATATAAAGATACAACAATATGGTTTTAATCCAACATCAGGATTAAAAATGGATCAATACAAAAGTAGTAAGAAGTCCAAAAAAGAAATGGGTCAGTGAAATTAGTCCACTGGATTTAATGAAATACATTCAGTGGAAGTCCATCTGATGGAACTGATGTTTTCCATACAGATTATAGAGCCCAGCTGGTGAATGTCTAACTTCTACTTTACATGAAGTGAATATCTGGCTGTTAATAATCAAATCTGCTTTGTCCTGCCCTGATTAATTACTTAATTACTACAAAGCCATTGTACAATGTGTAAGCCTGATCAGTCATTCACTGACAGCTGCTGAGCCGAGTCTGACAGAACATGATGCTATCTCATTTTTTGTGATCAATTTTTAGTCTCTAGATGACAAGCTAAATAATAATCTCACTCATTCATTAGATAGCATTTGTTTTGTAAAGGAGCATCTCTGCTGCTTTCCCTTTAAGGTTACAGTTTCTTGTTTTTTCATAAAAGTGTGTTAATTTCTTCTCTTGTCAGTGGAGGTGATCATTAATTCAGTGGTTGTAACCCACCTCCTCTACAGTCAGCTGTGGAAAAGCTTGTATTGTATTTGGCCTTAACTGTTTTGAGGCACACATGGCCTGATATACAAAAGATAACGCATAAACAGAAACAGTCTTGAGAGAAGTTAATCCCAGCCTTCTCGTTTTTCTCCTCCAGAGGCAGCAAAAGCTGCTCACCAGTCAGCCATCGGAGGCCTGGTAGTGGATACCCCCCCACATCCAGCACTGGGTAATATTGTTGGTCCAGCAGCAGGAGTGCTTTCCAGTGTGCCCCCTCCATACCAACCGGTCAGTGTGCGACACCTGGACTCTCAGTCCAGTTCAGAGGAGCCTCAGGATTACCTGTGGCTGGCCAACTGTGAGAGTAAAAAGCCTGAACCCAACAGGTGAGTTAGTTTGTGTACGTATGCCTCTATTGTATGTATGAGACTCCATATTCACTGTGTTGGAGTGCTGTATTGTGATGTCAGCTTCTCTCTGTACACTTTTTTCAGCCCATTTATTCTTTTTGTACATTTCATCTGTACTGCCACTCTTTTCCTTGTTTCTGCTGTGTGGTGTGTGTAGCTCCGTGCAGCTTCACTCTCCATTGGAGGGAGACCAGGAGTATTTGCTCCTGGAGGAGTGTGAGAGCAAGACTCTTCCTCCACAGGCTAGTCTGTGAGTGGCCAGCCATCCAGCTGGAACTGCCTGCTTGTGTGGAGTGCTGCACATGTATATAAAAAAGAAAACAAGACAGACCAACAGAGACACACAAACACTGTAGATTTACGTGGCTTTTGTAGATCATTATTAGTGCTGGATTAGAGGTGTTTGACTCTTAAGCAATTACCTCTTTGTAGATCAAAACTGACTGAGTTGTACTTAACACTATATCTAAACACTGCATATTTAGATATTACCCAACAGCTACTTAGTCCCTCAGTTATCCACTTTCCCCAAAAAGAGGTGCTTATATTATAAGAGGATGTCAAAGATAAGTGACAAGAGGTATCTGATTATAACTTTAGGCTACTAACAATGACTTGCGAACAGTGCTGTGAAGTTTCACTATGACTGTGTGAATTTCTTAACTTCTCTAAATCAACCTGTTTTGTGTGGATATTTAATTCCCTGGTGTATATATGTGTTTTCTTCTCAGAGCCCATGCCGAGTGTTCCAAGTCTACCTCCTCAGAGACAGACCTGAATGACAACCTCCCCTCTCACCGCACGCCTACATCCTCCACCTCATCAGCTAAACACACCTCGCACAATGGCTTCTTCCCACAGCACCCGGCCCCTGCCTCTGCCTCTTCCATCTACGACTCGCCTCCATCACGTGGTGCCTCGCTCTCAACTGATGGCAGCCTCTACCACCTCCCTCGCAGCTACTCCCAGGACACTGTGCTGCTCCCCAAGTCGGCCTCCTCCCCTCCAGCCCATCCAGACAGTGGGGACACCTCTGAGCTTTATGTCTTCAACACACCATCACGGAAGCCCTCGATGGAGACACAGCTCCGCAATCTTTCCATCAGTTATGATATCCCACCTACACCTGGTGCAAACTGTACCTACCAGGTGCCCCGCACGTTGTCATCGTCAACAGGGGTAGGAGGTTCAGAGAGTGGGGGAGATGTAGTCCCCCCTCCAAGACCACCCAAGCCTTCGCTCAGTTCCACCTCAGGACCCCCACCACCCCCTGCTGAGCGCTCACCTACGGACACCTATTGTGTGCCCCGGTCGGCCTCAGAGACGGATGGGAACTACTGTGTGCCTACTAGTGCTGGGAATAAAGCATTACGCAGCAACACTATTGGCACTGTGGACTGTTCACGCCTCCGTAAAGGTTTGTGTCGGGAGAGTTGTTTTTTTTTTCTCTCTCTCTTTTTTTACTGTTGGAGTAGAGCACTGGAAAACTACAATGAGATAAGAAAATATCTTTTATGATCCTGAAATATAAAAATCTAAATATAGTGTGTAACAGGACACACACATTCACAAAGCCTCTTTCCTCTATAAAATTTTTACCTTTATGTGTAGTGATATTTTTCTTCAACTAGACACATTATAAATGGCTCTACGAGGCTTTTGCACATCTTTTATGTTTGCATTCGGTACCCTTTTAGCTTTCTTTTGATGGATGATAAGAGACGTCACTGGAGCTTAGTATATTTTCTTCCAGCTGCATTCCCCGTTTTTACCTTTAGTCTTCTGTTTTGTTCACAATCCATTCAAATGATCAAAACCTTATCGAACCTGAACAGAGTTTTCTGCAAATGCCTTAATGAACTCGACAGTGGTTTGTGCAGCAATTCCACTCATATATATTGGTTACAGTACTCAATTACACATACTAACATTTAAAAGCAAGTAAGAAACATTAAGAACCATCTTCATGTGTCCTCACTTACCATAGATATCTTTGGCTAATTATCAGGACCACCTTTCTTGTTGTCTATACTATACCATCACTAATCTTTCATGTGATTTTTAAAATATTATGGTAACTATCAAAGTAGAGATTCACAAGTTTATATCACATAACAGCAATTTCTGTGCACTATCATCACTTTCACTGTGTATCAAATCTGGACAAGATTTTACTAAAACCTGGCAAATCAAAGCCTGAGTAGGGATCTTTTGAATAGGCAAGAGATGCATTTTTTTATGATAGTCAAGTAAAAATAGAAAATGAAGTAGTTCTAATGATAGAAATTTACCTGAATAGCACAAATCTTAGATCAATGTACATCTTTTATAGAAAGGCTTAAAATAAATTGAAAACAACTTTCTGTCAAGAAGAGAGACTTGTGATGTAAAGATGGACACAAAGTGGTATATTCTTCCACATACTCCTCCCTCTTGTGGTGACAAATGTCATTACAGAAGTATTAGTTGCAAGATAGCTGTTTACACAAACCAAAAGTCAGTCATCAGTCTTACCCGTGTTAAACTCTGTGCATTGCTAATATCCCGGGTACATCTGATGATGTGTTGTATAACTTCACACTGAACGGCATTGAGGCTGTGGTGAATATTTCTCCAACCGAGAGACTGGGTTGAAGGATCGATCTCTATCTGCATTTTGATGATGCAAGGGGAACAAAATGAAAATGTAAGGAATCACTGAGCAGGAATAACCCAGCATATGTGAATGATTTGCACTTTAATAAGCATGGGATTTCATCTGAACCATTTGAAACATATTTTTATTGATGTATTTGGATGCAGTTACAGTATTTCACAAAAATTACATGTCTCATTGTAATTATTCCCCGTCATGGTCTTACCCCACTTAGTCTTCCTCAGCTGACACTCTCATTTGCCATACAAGCTCTTCCCAGCATTTGCTGTGGTTCTTGTGGCGGTAAGTGAAATGCATTAGTGACTGCATCAGTGCATAATGAGAATGCAAAAAACAATTATAATATACCTCATAGTGGAGCCCTTACACACAATGGCAGAGCTCTGTCCTACTCAGTAAATGAATCTTTGTAGAGTCATGCAATCACATATTTTAATTGGGCCTCTATTGTGTATATGTAGGATTATGTTATGGCATAGAATGGCTGGAAATTAAGGCATTTCGCACTGGTACAGAAAGTCTGAAAGTGTGAAATTATCATGTTGTGTCCTACAGATAAAATAGTGAAATGCTAAGCAACTATCACTGCTACTGTTTATCCCATTTAACTTCCATTATGTATTGCAATTATATATATATATATATATATATATATACTGTA